AAAGGTCCCTGACTTAGGGTGTTGAGAGATACTGCTTGCAAATGATCAAGATTCACATTGACATCATAGCCAGGTAACAGCCATATCACACCACACGGCTAACTTCTCTCTCCAGCTTTGTTTTTTTTTTTTTTTTTTTTTTTAGCTATGTCCACCATCAGGTTCAACTTAGAAAGAAATTTTTTCATTCCTCACGGGAATTTTTCTTTCCCAAGAGAAACCGGTGCTACTTTCACACTGATAGAGAAAATACCAGAATGAGGTTATAAAATTAATTCCCGGGAGGTTTCCAGTGACTTGTATCTTGTTGACCTCTTGATAAAGTTCTGTTTTGTTTATTAAAGGCTGCAGAGAGAGAAGAAAATGGAACTCAAAACCCTCAGAGGAGGAATGAGAAACTTTGAAGCTCATCTCCTAATCCAGTGGGAAAGAGTTTTGGGGATTAGGAAAAACCTTCCAGGGAAATGTCTGGAGCCCATGAGGTCTTTAAAGGGAAAAATGATCCTGTTCCTTGTTGTATTTCTGATGCCTGCTCCATAGTAGGTATTCAGTAAATTACTTGGTATATATATATATATATATTTTTTATTTCGGCATATTATCGGGGTACAGATTTTAAGGTTTCAATAAATGCCCATTTCCCCCCCCTAGTAAATTACTTGTTGAGCAAAAAATTGATTAAGTGGGTGAACATGAACCTCCAGTCACACCTGCCCTACATAGTCACCAAACCAGACTCCAACGCTCTGATGGCGTTGCCCATTTTTCTCATTCTTTGTGGCAATTGTGTCTGACCATTTCACAGCAATGGCTCCAAACCTTTTGTAGATCATGAACTCCCCCTAAAAATCTGCTGAGAGCAATGAACCCTCTTCTCAAAAAACGCAGGGGTGCACACACACACAATTTCGCATATCTTTTCCAGTTGTGAGCAATCACCCTGAACTTCACCTGCAGCCCCAGCCTAACAATCTCTGGATCTCTTCCCACTCTTCTCCCCGACTTCCCTGTCCCCCTTCCCCACAGAGTTATCTGCTCCTTCACTGGGTCCTCATAGCACCCTCTTTTCTTTTTCTTTTTTAGCTTAAAGCATTTATTCTGCTCACAAATCTGCAATTTGTGCAGGGCCTTGAGGGGTGCCCTTTCTCTGGTCTCTTCCAGGCTGGGGCTGGAGTCACTTGAAGGGCCACTGCATGGTTTGCATATGTCCCCCAAATTTCACGTGTTGGAAAGGTAAATCCCTAAATTCATATGTTGATGGTATTTGGAGGCGGGGCCTTTGGGAAGTAATTAGGATTAGATAAGGTCATGGGGCGGGGACCTCAGGATGGGACTAGTGGCCTTATAAGAGGAGGAAGAGATACCTGAGCTGACATGCTCTTGCCCTCTTGCATGCAATGCCTTCTGTCATGTTACGACACAGCAAGAAGACCCATGGCCAAAGCTGGCACCTTGATATTGGACTTCCCAGCCTCCAGAACTGTAAGAAACAATTTTTTTTCTCCTTGTAAATTACCCCAAGTTTGTGGCATTCTGCTATAGCAACAGAAAAGGGACTAAGACAGTCCTTCACTCACCTGCCCAGAGGTTGATGCTGGAAAGACCTAAACAGCTGGGAGCTAAAACAGCCGGGGTTCCTGGGACATCTCTTCCTGTTTCTATGTGGTCTTTCCATGCATTCTCTCTGGCATATCCAGGGTGCTTCAAACACATCTCTCCTATTACTTAACACGCAATATCGTAGTGATCATTTATGTCCGTTGATTGTGGCAATTTACACGTGTTTGCTTTTTCAGCAAGACTGTAAGTCCTTCAAGATGAGGACCATAACTTGTTCATCTTTATTTAGCAGGTACCTAGCACATAAGTAAGCATTTCATACATGCTAGTTGGAATAGGCATATAGGTGTGTATTTATTTTATTATTATGCTCCACTACATTTCAGAAAGGAATTAGAAGAATTAAAAATGTGAAACAAGGAAATGGGGATGAAGTGAAAATAAAGATAGGAAAATATATTAAAATAAAGGATATATATATATATATATACACACACACACACACACACACACATACACACCCCCATCCATATATATATATACACACTATGGAGTTATATTTCATTACTGGCAGTGGCCCAGAAATCTGGTTTGAGAATCCTGGCAAAAAAGGGCAAAGAAGGAAATATAATTAGTTAAAAGTCCATAGTGTTAGATACAGATGGTCTTCGACTTACGATGGCTCAGTTTACTATTTTTCGACTTTGCAATGGTGCAAAAGCAATATGCATTCAGTAGCATCTGTACTTCCAGTACCCATACAGCCATTCTGTTTTTCACTTTCAGTATAGCATTCAATAAAAGTGAGATATTCAACACTTTCTTATAATATAGGATTTGTGTTAGATGATTTTGCTCAACTGGAGGCTAATGTAAGTGTTCTGAGCTCATTTAAGGCAAACTAGGCTAAACTATGATGTTTGATAGGTTAGGTATATTAAATGCATTTTCGACCTACAATATTTTCAACTTACAATGGGTTTATTAGGACGTGACCCCATCATAAGTCAAGGATCATCTGTATAAGCAAACTGATTGTTCAGGAAAACACAGCTTTTATTAGTAACAAGGTATAAAAGAAATGTTTTTTCTATTGGTTGCGATTTTATTGCAAACTCCCTGTGATAAAAATAATAGCAAGATTATACAGTGGGTTCTCGATAATGTCCTTCAATTCAGGTTAAGGGAAGTTCAATGTAAGCAAATCTATAAGTGACCAAAACAAAGGCCTTAAAGCTGCAATTCTCTAAGAGTTTGGTTTTATCTATTTGAGACTATCTAGTCTAACTTTTTCTCAAAGGTATACCATGGAATACCAATCTTGGAGAAGCTCTGCCCACAGTGGGTTCTGTGGTTGAGGAAATGTAGGAAACCCACCCATGTCTTCCTCTTGGAACTGCATATCGAACAGTAGCATTTTAAAGGCTCTGAGAAGTCCTGCAATAAAGAAACCGAGGCTTTCCAAAGTTTCTTTGACTGCTGTAGTGCAAGAACCTAAGGATAGTCTCCAAGTGGGACCTAGTTCCACCAATCTACCACAGAATGAGTTTGTCCTTCTCATGAGAATAGGTAAGGAGTAACAGACCACCATTCTTCAGCAAGGTGTGCTGAAATCTCCCTCCTTTGTTCTTTCCTGAAAGAAACCAGGAAGCGGAACAAAGTAATATTTGCAGATCTCCTGCTTCAACCACTTCTGTTTAAGATCTTGCTTGCTTGCTGTTTTTCATAGGTATGTCAACGACAACGAAAGGTTAGGAAGAAACTTGTCCTTTCAAATTCCAAAGAAGGTAATAGTAAGGTATGATTGAATGTCACAATTTCTGCCTCTGAGAAAAATAGAAAGGGGTCATCTCTATAGATGTCAGACAAGACCCCATCCCAAAGTTCTCTATAGCCCTGATCACTAAAACATCAACCCGTGTTGAGGCCAATCAGAAAACCAATGCACCTTCAGCAGGGAGGACAATAACTGTCTGTTTTGGCATTGCACATGAAAAGAAATAAAGGCTGTCTGTTATTCTTGGTATTGTTTCAGTCTGTTGGTACACTAACATTTTCATCTGCAAAGAATCAAAGCTTATCTAAATGGGAAGGCATGCCTCAGTTTGGCATGCTGTAGAACAATCCGAGAGTCCTCTCTTCACAAAGCACTGCTTAATATCCTACTTAAAAGTCTGTGGAACACACTGCAAAAAATAAGTACCCAGAGGGACCACAGTCTTTAGGTTACTGATTCTCAAGCTGGGTTCCACGGAACACTAGCGGTTCTCAGAGTCTCGGAGGCTGCTTAGAGAGCAATGAAGAAGCCCTTGGCAGGCAGAGGTCTGGGCTTCTAGCTTCAACTCAACACTCTTTTGTCTACATAAAAACTTATTTGTCAAACATCTTGTTCTGATCTAAAAAAAAAAAAAAAAAAACTTGTTTGGAAAAAAAGAAAATTTTCTCTTACTTAAAATTAGAAAACATTTGAGAACCACTGCTTTAAACATAGCTCCATATAAATTATTTTTCCCAGCTGAGATTCTGATAAGCATTGCAAGGCAGTGTTCGTTATATTCTTAGCAAGAACCTGGGGGAAGAAATTTAATTTTTGTTTTTAATCGAAAGCAGAGCCATGGTAAGACATACCATAGCCAAATAAAATATTTGCAACTATATAATTGATGAAGGGTTAATAGCCTTCATTTATAAAGCGATCATAAGAATTACAAAGAAAAAGACCAATAAACCAGTAGAAACACAGGCCAAGGCTATACAGCATTCACAGAAGCAGAAATGCAAATGGCCAATAAACATATGAAAAGATGCTCGGCCTCACTTGTCAGGGAAATGCAAATGAGAACAAAGAGATACTATTTTTTACCCATCAGATTGGCAAAAATGGAAAATATGTGTAGCAACCAGAGCTGGTGAGGGTATAAGAAATCCAGTTCCTTCAAATGCCATTGGGGGAGGCTTATAAATTATTATAACATTGTGGAAAATCAACTGTTGGTATTTTTGAAAATTTAAACTGTGACCCAGCACTCCTATTTCTGGGAATATATCCACCAGAAATGAAAATGCTAGTATATAAAGACATAAATATATCAAGAAGTTTATTGCAGCATTGTTTGTAATAGTTTAAAAAAAAACAAAAAAAACCCTGTAAACAGTCTGAACGTACACTAATAGAAAAATGGTTGAACAAATCATGATATATTTATAGTAAGGAATACGGTGCAGCTATTAAAAATTATAAAATAAATCTATACATGCTGCCTGGGAAATAATTCTTCAACACCTTGTTAAATAGAAAAAAAGCAAGCATGATCCCATTTTTATTAAAGAAAGAAAAAAGAAAGAAAAGGCCAAATCCTGAAAGTGAGTTTCTATATGTTTTTATAAATGAAGAGAACAGTAAAGAAACATTTATTTCAAATTCTTAACAGTGACTGGATCAGGGAGTTGGGTTGGAGAGGAGTAGAGAGACAATTTTATTTTAGACACTTCTTTATTGTTTGAATTGCTACAAAAGATACACACTGCTTTTGTAATTCAAATGATCAGTATTTTTTAAAAACAGCATTAGGAAAAGAAATTCAAAGCAAATCAAATTACTTTGACAATCACCCAAAGGCAGGGACGGAGTCTTAAAGAAGCCAACTGGGGTTTGTGCCTAATGAAGGCCCCCAGCTATGCATGGGGGTTAGGTTGAGGGGATGCCTTCCAATAGGGTCACCGTTTTCCCTGAAAAACAGTCCTGACTCTTTAATCTCTGCAGAAGGCTTGAATGAGACCCCAAAATAATATACTATAAAACAGGGATCAGCGAATGTTTTCTGTAAAAGAACAGATGGTAAATATATTAGGGTTTGTGGGCTGTAATACTTACAATCTCTGTCACAACTACTCAACTGCACAAAAACACCCTTAGATGGTGTATAAGTGAATGGGATGGCCGTGTTCCAATAAAACTTTATTTATAAAGCAGGTCACTGACCAGATTTGACCCCAGGGCTATAGTTTGCTGACCTCTGCTATAAAACATGGGCATAATTATCTTTTAAAAGTAAATGTTTAGGCCGGGCATGGTGGCTCACGCCTGCAATCCTAGCACTCTGGGAGGCCGAGGCTGGCAAGGCCGGGCATGGTGGCTCACGCCTGCAATCCTAGCACTCTGGGAGGCCGAGGCTGGCAGATGGCTCAAGGTCAGGAGTTTGAAACCAGCCTGAGCAAGAGCGAGATCTCCTCTCTACTAAAAATAGAAACAAATTAATTGGACAACTAAAAATATATACAAAAAAATTAGCCGTGCATGGTGGCACATGCCTATAGTCCCAGCTACTTGGGAGGCTGAGGCAGAAGGATTGCTTGGAGCCCAGGAGTTTGAGGTTGCTGTGAGCTAGGCTGACACCACGGCACTCTAGCCCGGGCAACAAAGTGAGACTCTGTCTCAAAAAAGAAAAAAAAAACCAAGTAAACGTTTAAATTGAAGTGTTATAAGAAGCATATAATAAAATTATACAAATCCAATTAATTTATATCTTAAATTAATATTATTAATTATTAATTATATTAATATTATTAATAAATTAATAAATTTTATTAATATTGATTAATGATATTATTAATATCAGTTATGAATATATCTTCATAACTGTCCCCCAGATTGAGATATAGAACATTACCCACACCCCAAAAGTGTTCCTCATAGGCTTCCAAGCCATCCCTGTGCACTCCATCAAAGATAAACACTGATTTGACTTCTATCTTCCTGATTTGTTTCGACTGGTTTTGATCCCTATGTAAATGAAATCACATAGCATGTTCTTTCACTCCATGGTGTGTTAGATCCACCCACGTGACTGGGTCTGTCCAACTTCATTGCTACATAGCGTTCCGCACGTGGTGTTGCATTTGGAGCGTTGTGCGAATGTGCCGCACTTCATTTACCTGTTCCACTCTCACGGTATTAGGGCAGTCTCTAGTTTGGGGCTATAACAAATAATGTCACTACGAACTGCGGTCCCCAGCCCCCAGGCCTCAGACTGGTACCTACCCGTGGGCTGTTAGGAACCGGGCCACACAGCAGGAGGTGAGCGGCGAGTGAGCGAAGCTTCATCGGTATTTACAGCCGCTCCCGGTCACTCACCATCTTCTCTGTCCCCGTCTGTGGAATTACTGTCTTCCATGAAACTGGTCCCTGGTACCAAAAAAAGATGGGGACTGCTGACTACGAACATTCTTGAATATGTCTTTGGTGCCCACATTTACACACCACTATTAGGCATATTTATGGAGTGTGTGTGCTTACGTTCAGCTTTAGTAAACACTACTAAACAGTTTTCCACAGTGGTTGTCCTAATTTGGACTCCCAACACCCGTGTACGAGAGGCCCAGCTGCTCCAAGCTTTACCAACACTCGGTGTGACAGGTTTCATTTTTGTTTGTTTGTTTGTTTGTTGTAAATTTAGCCTGTCTTGTGTGTGTATGTGTAAAATTTATATAGAGTAAGGTGCAAAATTTTTAGGTATACAGCTAAGTCTCATTTACATGGATAAAAATTCTCACTGTGGTTTTCAGTGCATTTTAACTGACTAGTAATGTTGACTCCCTTTTGAGAAATTTATTGGCCATTTGGATTTCTCTTTTGTGAAAAGCTTATTTGTGTGTTTTGCCTATTTTTTAAACAATGGGATTGTTTGTGTTGGAAACACAAAACACATAAATTTGCAGGTATTTTTTAAATATTCTGAATCCGAGGCCTCTGTTTAATATCTTTGGTTCCACTATCTTCTCTCATTCTGTGGTTTGTGTTTTCATTCTCTTAATGGGATATTTCAACGAACAGAAGCTCTTAATTTTAATGAGATTCAATTGATCAATGGTTTTCTTCATGGTTAGAGTGTTTTTGTGCCCTGTTTTAGAAATATTTCCCCATCTTAAGGACATGAAGATATTCTCCTATGTTAGATCACAGACGTCTGATTGTTTTAGTTCGCACAGTTGAGCCTACGGCCATCACAATAATTACAAACAGGCATGTCTAATGGGTAGGCACTACCCATGGCAATATTTTCAGTCCCTTATAGTCTTCCAGAACCTTGTCTTTGCCCATCAAGAGGTGGGATCTATTTTCCCTTCCCTTCTACCTGGGCTGGTCTCGGTGACAGAATGTAGCAACAGTGACACAGCATGACTTTTCACAGGTCATAGAAAGTGATAGGGCTTCCACCCCACTCTCTCTCCTTTTCTCAGGACACCACCACATAAGAAGTCCACTTCCTGGTAAAGCCACCCACGTGGAAAGACCACATGGGGACAGAAAGAGACACCCCATGAGCCCGATGTTCTGGCCCCCAGGTGTACAAGGCTTCCCTACCCAGACACCAGACATGAGCATGAGGAAGTCTTCTAGATGACCCCAATGGTGGCCACAGGAGATGCCCTGAGCTAGAACTGTCCGGTCAAGCTGCTTCCAAATCCGTAACTTACAGAAACTATGCATGATGACAAATGACCATTGTTTAAGCCACGACTGTTTGGGCTCATTTGTTGTGTTTCAGTAGACGATGCAAGAGCAAGAAGGAAGGGCAGCCGTGTCTCCTACCTTTAATTTCTATGGGGGCCATGCTGGTCTCCACCCCTGCTGCCCCTTTCAAGTGTGTTTGCAACCTCCAAAGGCAAAGGAGGCCTTGACTTTCCTTCTGGAAGCCTCTCTACTTAGTGCCTATGCAAATAGCTGAGCACATTCAGGAAAAGGGAAGGAGCCCAGGAGATGAAAGAGTTGGGAAAGCTCAGATAAGGAAGATAAGAAGTCTTTCTTGGAAACTCTTGAAGGGCAGTGAAGTCTTGGTGAGAATCCAGAGGGGTTAGCAGGGACACTCCCTGAGTTAGAAAGATAAGATCCACAGGGGGGCTGGGGGAGCCCCTTCTTCATCCAACAGACAAATAAGGCAGCTTCAGAGAGATCCCCCGGGCCCTGGAGCACCCGCCACTCAGCCACTCAGCTCTGGCTCCAGGGCGACTCAGGCTCATTCCAACCCGGCCCTCTCGACACAGCCCCGGGGAATAGGCAGTTCTACTTACAGGTGGTTGAAATGGAGGAGGCAAGTAAGGGTGGCTGTTTCATTAGCAGAACTATACTTTTCACTTTCTAAACACATGCTTAACATGCTAATAATGGCACTAACACCTGCCTGGATCCACAGTCACATTATTGACTTGTTTGCCTGTTTATTCCCTCTCCCCGCCCCCACCCTGCCAGTCCAGCTACAGGAGATCGGAGACTTTGGTGTCTCCCCTGCACTTCGCCCAGTGGCTGGCAGAGAGCGGGGCCCCGGGATTATTTCCTGAATGAATGGATGAGTGAATGCACGAGGGAGTGAATAAATGATACCAGCAGCCCTTCATGAGAGCCTACCTGGTGCAGGCACCGGGCATGGTTCCTTGTCCGCCTTCAGCCTTGCCGTGGGTGGTTTCTTGGTCTTCCAGAAGTCAGAAAACTTGCCCAAAGCCCTAAAGTCGCTAAAGGGGACACATCTTATTTGAAGCTCAGGCTGTCTGACTCACACACTTGAACTCTTTTCTCCTAAGCACACTCTTAGCTACTCTTAGCCTGCGGGGAGTCCACCCACACTTTTCCCTTTCTTAAGATAAGGCTGGAGTGTTTTCGCAAGGGCCTTGGGCAGCAAGAGCCGAACTCCTAGCTGGCGGGCCGGGCGGGGCTCGGGCCCCAGAACACTGACACCACCCAGGGGTTCCCTGCCCACTCCTGTGGCCTGGGAACTCGGAGGAAAGGACAATTAAATTAAAGGGGTCAGGGCAGGAGGAGGAGGGTGGGGAGATGGTGGCCAAATCCAGAAAAGGCCAGATTTCAATTTGCATAATAATTTTGTTAGCAACAATGGGCACGCAGGACATCTATTTAAAGGCTATAATGTTAATTTAATGGGAAAAAAGCTAATACAATTCTCCCAGAATTTTTCAATTAAATTAATGTGATGGGCTTTAATGGATAGCTTAAGTAGAGAGCGTGAATAGGAGAAATATTGCATAAATTATACATACATTTCTATATATGCCGCCGGTGTATATGAGCTCTCCGCTGCAAGGTTTTGACATGTGGGAGGCCTTCTGTTTAAATCTGGCAACCAGTTACGACTCTATTTCAATTAAAGTGACCCTTTTATCATTCCAAGGAGGGGAGATGCTCCTCCCCAAGGAGTTTCCACCCACCCCTTCCCTCCAACGACACGCCAGAAGATTCCGGGTCTTAAAGAAACAGGAGGCTGGAGAACAACCACCCGTGATGACACACACACACGCACAAAAAAAGCCAACGGTATGAGAAACCCTTTGACGCAGAATCCTGTTCCCCTGTCTCCACTCCCCCAAGACATATGTGACAGAGCAGTAAATAAAATGGACCGAGTTTCAACGACCCCTTTATCTTCTCGAGCATGTGCCCATGCGTGTTCTGTGCAGCAAATGTCTATGGAACACTCTCTAAATCCTGGACATTGTTCTAGGTGCTTCCAGGAATATTGCAGTGAACAGTCAGACATGACCGCTGCCCACGCGATGCTCTCACTTTTCTGTCGAGTCTACAGAACCTTGCTGATTCGGTCTCACAGAAAAGGCAGGGCACACTCAGGTAACCCCCTTCATGCCTCCATTTTATTTTATTTATTATTTTATTTTTAAAAATTATTTTATTTTTTAATTTTTAATTATTATGGGTACATAATAGTTTTCCACGCCTCCATTTTGTCACTTGTGAAAAAAATATATATATATAACAACTGCAGTAGCCATAAGGCAGTGTCCAAGACGGCCCCCAATCATCTGCCTGATCTTCACATCTTTACGTAGGACGCTGTAGAAATGGGGGAATGTGACGTCTACAGCAAGGCCGTGAAGGACACTGCACCCTCCTCTTTGCTCTCTCTTGGCGCCTTTGCTCTGAGGGAAGCCGGCGGCCATGTTGTGAGGACGTCCAAGCAGTCCTGCACAGAGCTCCCTGTGGGGAGGCACTGAGGGCTCCTGCCAATGGCCGGGTCATCTTACCAATAGCCGCGGGAGTGCGCCACCTGAGAGCGGGTCCTCCAGCCCCATCCGAGCCTTCAGATGAGACTGCGGCCCAGCCCACACCTCACCTGCAGCCTCGTGAGAGATCGAAGTCTGAACCACCCAGCGATGCCATTCCCAGGTTCCTGGCCCACGGAGACTGCATGTTTACTGTTGGTTTAAGCCACTAAGTGTCGGAGGAATTTGTGACGTGCCGATAAATAACAGATACAATATTCTCCCTTTCGGGCTGGCCCTAGGTGAAATTGCCAAGGAGACAAAGCAGGTCCTCTCTTCGAGGTCCCTGCACCTGCTTTCTGCCGTGTGTCACCTGCCTCTTTCCTAAGCCCGCAAGTACCTCTGCTCCCTTGTGTAAGCTTGGAGCTGATGTATAGGCTCCAAGTTTAATATGACCAGTCTCAGAGGTACTGTCATTTGAATTAAAGCCTCTTGACAATCAGAAAGGATTTCAGGCCCAAAGAAATTCATTTCTCCAGGTAAAATCTCAGGAAACCAGGAAGCTATTAGGTGACAGAAGCTCCTGGGGATCCTCAAATCACATCTCCAGGGATCCGTGCTTTTTCCTCAATCCTGAGCATGTCCGCAGCTTAAACAAAAAGGGCACACAAGTGCCAACATCGACTAATTTCCAGGGTTTTTTTTATCATCAATCTATTTCCACGGGCTATGTTTCTCCCCTCTTGGGCTGTGGTGGCTCGTGAATTGCTGATAGGGAAAACAAAAAAGCTAAGTGAGGTTTCCATTGATTAAACTCCAAACCCAAGCAGCAGTGAGCGTCCACGAAGTCCTGGCCACTCGAGCCCACCCAGCCCGCCGTGGACTCCCACGGAGCCCCGGGTGGGAATCTTAGCTCTGCCACTTACCGGCTACGTGAGGATGAGCAAGTGCACCGGCCTCTCTGGGCTCCGTGGGGATATTCATGGCTGTCTCGCAGCCTGGCCCGGGGGAGGAGTCGAGCGCACGCTTGCACGCTTGCACGCTTGCTGCTGCTCTTGGATGGCACCCCACGGAGAGCGTGGCAGAGGCCGCAGGAAATAGCCCTTCTGCTCAGCATCCAGGGAACTGTTCAATTTAACCTGGCAAGGGCTGACACCTAAGGGAGATGGCGGGTCTGCAGCACTGGGCGGTGAGCGCTTTCTGGCCAGCGAGCCCAGCCACAAAGAACCCCATGCCTGCCAGCGCAGGTGGCTGTCTCTCTGCTGATTCCCCGAGAGGGCGTCCCTCCGAGACTGCCGTGTTGGCCCCTTTCCCAGGAGACAGGAGGGTGACAGCAAGGTGGCAGGGGACCCACGGCTCCTTAGAGGAGCAGAGAGACGGTCCCCTGCTGGGATCAACTCCGACCCGCAGTGGAGGCAAGAGGAGAGCCTGAGTCTCCGAGGGCAACACGTTTAGGGAAGTCACGGCGGGGCTGGCTCCCCAGCGGTGAACGCGACTCTCGGTTTGTACGAGCCAGGGTAAGAGGGCTGCTTTTCTCCACAGAGCCGGAAGGATGTGACCCAAGGTCTACCCCAGCCGTCTTCACCGCCGTGTGGACAACGTCTGCAGGAAGAGAGAGGGGCACACAGCTTCTGCTTCTCAACCGTTTCCTTCTCTTTCTGAGCAGACACCTGGACCCTCGTCCTCTGCAGCATGGTGTGTCACCGTCCTCAGTGATCGGCAGCAGGAACGGAAGGGAAACTCACTGGGCAGAGGAGCACCAACTCCTCTATGTGGTAAAAGAAAGCGAATAGGGACTGTCACAGGAATCAGGTAGCCAGACAATGAGAGTCGCCAGTCAGCCATGTTCCCTTGATAAGAGCTGCTCTTGGCTTCTATCAAGGAGCAAAGAGGTTAAGAGTGAGCAGTGATCAAGATGGCATCCCTCAACTGGTCCCTCCATCCAGGCATCCATATATAAACTCATCCACCCATTCATGCATCCACCCATGCACCCACCCATCCATTAATCCATCAACCTGTTCTTCCAGTCAGCCAGCGACTCACCCATCCATCCACCACCCACCCACCCATCCATCCATCCATCCATCCATCTACCCATCCATCCATCCATCCATCCATCTACCCACCCACCCATCCTACCATTCATCACCCATCCATCCATCCATGCATCCATTCATCCATCTACCCATCCACCCATTCATCCATCCACCCATCCATCCATCCATCGACCCATCCATCCACCCATCCATCCATCCACCCATCCATCCATCCATCCATCCATTCATCCATCTACCCACCCATCCATGCATCGTATCCATCTATCCCTCCAACCATCCAACCGTTCACTCGCTCATTGAGCAAACTGTTGTGGAGTAGCCTCCATATCCCTGGCCCTGTGGGAGAGAGATCCCAATCCAATGGGCATTTACGGCACGGCTGCTCTGTGCTTGCTCTGCTGGATGTCGAGGATTCAAAGGGAAATGAACCAGGGCCCTCAAGGAGTTTGCGATCTGGTTGTGGTGGGGAGTAGAAAAGTAAACATCCAGCTGAGCCAGGAAAGAATGAGAGAAACACAGAGGGGGCCAAATAGCGCATGGCTCAGACCGGCCCACCACAGGGGGACGGGGTTGCCCAGAGCCGGTCCGTGTCCTCGGTCCATCGCCGCCTGTGTAACTGCGTATGCCGTGAGGAGTCGGTGAAGTGGGAACAGAGTGACAATTGTCGGGGTTCAGGTGGAGCCGCCCCCACCCACCGGCTCCAGGTCTGGCCAAGCGGAGAGCTGCTGGGCTCCGGGATGGGCTCTGGGACATAATGACCGAGCCACCCTGGGGACCGGGGCAGGAGCCTGGGGAAAGGACAGACTCTCCTTCCAGCGCTGATGAGCCTGGGGCTGCCGGGACCCACGCCGCCCGCCACGAAGGGAGAGGGTGTCTGAGAACGATGCCAGCGCAGGGGAGCACTGCAGAGAGAGGAGAGGGAGGGAGGAGGGCCCGGGTGACCTCCTGGATCCCGCTGTGCCTAAAGCCACCATAGAACCCTCACCTGAGACAGCAGCCCTCACCTGAGACAGGAGCCAAGGTACCCTTCTTTTGGCTCCCGCCAGTCTGCGGTGGCTTCCTGCACAAACTCGGGGACATTCAGAAAGGAGACCTGTGTCCGTGGGAGTAGGAGTTGCTTTGCCAGGAAACTCGGCTTGCAAGTTGGGAGACACGGTGGTGGGGTGGCGGGTGGATGGGTGGATGGATGGGTGGATGGGTGGATGGGTGGATGGATGGATGGATGGATGGGTGGATGGATGGATGGGCTGACAGGTGCTGCCTTAGTTGTCAGTCGCAGCCTCCTGTGCGAGGAGCAGTCCCTGTCCAGGGCAGGCAGGGCTCACTGACTCTCTCACTTGGGAGACAGTTGACCTGGAGTTTAGTTTCAGCCCCACCTCTAACTTGCTGTGTCACCTTGAGCTGGACACCGTCCCTCTCTGGGCATCAGGCACGTCAATTGTCAAATGAAGGAAGCATACCAGGCCACTTTTCTGGAAGCATGATCGGAACAGCAGTCCTTTGGGCTATACTGGGGGAGGAGACTGTGTGTGAGCACACACACTCGGGAGTCATCATGGGTTGAACTGCGTCTTGCAATACTGAAGTCCTAATTCGAATACCTCCCAACGTGACCGTGCTTGGACATGAGATCATTGCAACTGGTTAAGAT